GAGAAACTGGGAGGAGACAATACAGGAAGAGAACTCACCATGGGTCGTGAGGCCCTCGATGAAATGAACGACAATGGTGAACTCTTCTCAGACTTCTGCGCCTTCAATGATTTGGTGATTGGTGGCAGTGTGTTCAAACACAGGGATATACACAAGGCAACATGGATTTCACCAGATGGATACACCAAAAACCAGATAGACTTCATTTCAATCTCAAGGAAGTGGAGACGGAGCCTACTGGACACAAGATCGAGGAGAGGAGCAGATGTGGGTTCAGACCACTATCTAGTACAAGGGACATTCAAGATGAAGCTAAAAGCCTCGAGGATAGCTGGGGATAGGCCACAATGCAAGTTCAACACTCAAAAACTGAAGGACACAACCACAAAGGACATTTTCACTGCAACTGTCAGAGCAAAGCAGGAAACACTACCTGGCACCACTGAGGAATCATCCGTGGAAGACCATTGGAACTCTCTGAAGGTAATTTTCAACGAAACGTGTTCAACGGTTTTAGGAAGAAAGAAGAGACAAGACAAGGAATGGCTCTCAACGGACACTTGGAAGCTAATAGAGGAGAGGAGAATGGTGAAAGAGAAAATGATTCAATGCAAAGACGGACAAGAGAAAGAGACGCTGAGCTCAACTTACACAGCACTGGACAAAGTGAAGAGTGCCAGGAAGGACAAAAGACAGTTCTACGACAACCTGGCTACTGAAGCTGAGAAGGCAGCAGGCAAACGGGACCTAAGGACACTATATCAGATAACCAAGTCTCTATCCGGGAAGAGATCAACACAAGTGAAACCTATAAAAGACAGCCAAGGGAACCCAATTACCAAAGAAGAAAGACAGATTAAACAATGGGCGGACCACTTCAAAGGACTCTTGAATCGACCACCACCTACAACCCGTCCAGTAATACCAACAACAGCACGTACACAACTGCAAGTTGACACCAATCCTCCAACGAAAACTGAAGTCATGAATGCAATCAAGCTTCTGAAAGCTGGAAAAGCAGCTGGACCAGATGGAATACCCCCGGAAGCACTGAAAGCGGACCCAGAGACGACAGCAGATATGCTGACTCCATTATTGCAAAAGGTCTGGAAGGAGGGAAAGGTGCCTACTGACTGGAGGAAAGGTTACCTTGTGAAACTACCAAAGAAGGGCGACTTAGGACTCTGCAAGAACTGGCGAGGAATCATGCTCCTGTCAACGCCAAGTAAAATCCTGAGTCGCATCATCCTGGAGAGAATAAAGGGCGCACTGGATACAGAACTCCGACCAGAACAAGCTGGATTCAGGAAAGGCGAATCATGTTCTGACCAAATTGCAGCTCTACGCATCATCATCACAGAACAAAGCATGGAATGGCAATCAAACCTCTACCTCAACTTTATAGACTTTGAGAAGGCCTTCGACAGCGTTGACCGCGAAGTAATTTGGAAACTACTCGGATGCTACGGCGTACCCCAAATATTTATCAACCTTATTCAACAGCTGTACAACAGCGGCACATGTCAAGTGATTCACAATGGAAAACTCAGCGAGGCGTTTGGAGTAAACACAGGAGTCAGACAAGGGTGCTTATTATCACCAATGATATTCCTAATTGTGGTGGACTGGATTATGCGTCAGGCAGTGGGAAACGAGAAGACAGGGATATCCTGGACCGACGTGAAGAACCTAGAAGACCTGGATTTCGCAGATGATCTATGTTTGACGTCACACGAAATCGAAGACTTACAAGCGAAAACCGAAAAACTGGTCGAAGAAGCAGCAAAGACAGGAAGGACTCCAGGTGAACATAGACAAGACAGAGGTTATGAAAATAAACAACCAACAACAACAGCCAGCGGCAATCACCATCAACGGGAGGGATTTGAAAGAGGTTACTTCTTTCACTTATCTAGGGAGCATTGTCTCAACTACAGGAGGAACGGACGAGGATGTCAAATCAAGAATCGGGAAGGCGAGAAACACATTCATCAACTTAAAACCAATCTGGAAATCTTCGTCACTCAGCCTGCATCAACAACAAAATTCGGATTTTCAATACAAACGTCAAGTCAGTTTTGCTATACGGATCAGAAACTTGGCGGGTCACAAAGAATATTTCCAACAGCCTGTTGCAGACCTTTATCAACAACTGTCTTCGTTCTATACTGAAGATTAGATGGCCGGAAAGAATCACAAACAAGAAGCTATGGGAACAAACAAAACAGGAACCAATAGCTCAACAAATATGCAGGAGAAAGTGGAGATGGATTGGACACGCACTGAGGAGGCCGCTGGGTGACATCGCGCGTTAGGCCATAGCTCGAGTGGAACCCGAAAGGGAAGCGGCGAGTGGGACGTCCAAGGGTGACATGGAGGAGATCGTGTGAAGAGGAACTGAAACAGTATGGATTAACATGGATGCAAGTGAAAAGTACAGCAGAAGACAGAAGCAAGTGGAGGCGTGCAGTTGAAGCCCTATGTTCCACTAGGAACCCAAGGGAACAATAATAATATATAATATTGATGTAGATGCATCTGCCGAAAGTGATTTTGCTGATTTGACTTCATAGCCTAAAGAAATTACCTATTATTGTAACTGAGGCATCTCATTCCTATTTCCTATCTTTCTCAAAATTGTCACGTTCAAATGAAATATTATTTCCTAGTTGTGAGATACGGACAGGTCAGTCGGACTGCAGTAAAAGCAGACTTAATGAAATGACTTTCAAATATGAAATTATCATGATTTTATCAAATGGCGTTCTTTAGATAAGTAGCAAGTATTGTAAAATCGTTACAATTTTCACCAACGATCTTACAATAACTTTTGCTTATTGTGAGAAGTGAAGTAGCTTAATGTATTCTGATACCCTAGTTATAACGGATCAGCAGGTATAGTGGAATCAAGTTCGACTGTAGGTTACCAGCTTTAATTGAGAAACCAGAGGAAAAATATAAATGCGCAGCAGTGTGTGCCTCCTCAAATTAATGGAATGAATTGGAACCAATATCTAGGTGATTTCACAGTGAAGTGCAAGTTAAAGACAGCGTATCATTTAGTGGAATTTATTGTTGTATGTAGCCAGAATGTGAACTGACTGCCTAACTTCACACTACGAAATGAAATTCTAAGCTTAAAAGTGATTTATTTGAAGTCATAGGATTGGATTGGGTAACTGCTTTTAGTCTAACCGCTATCCAAACAACCTTTCTGGCATGGTAGGACCTGCAGGAACATAAGTTCCAGCCAGTATAGCTTGTTGGGTCATTGCGGTGTTCAAGCCCGACCACCACGTCAAGGTAGCAGCTTTCGGTCGGGAGTGTTGGGCAGAGAGGGAAAATCACTCGAAGAGGCTATAAAGTTACATAGATTGAGATGGTTAGGTCATGTGCTGCGCATGCCTAACCATCGTCTCCCCCGACGGGCATTACTAGCTGATATAGGTGCAGGTTGGAAAAGAGTATGTGGTGGCCAAACAAAAACATGGCATCAATCCATGAAATCCCTGACAGTTAAACTGAGTCAGGTAGGGAGATGCAGACTTCCGAGTTGGGGCCCTCGGGACTCTAAGAATCAATGGCTGGAGACAATAGGTGACATGGCTCAAAATCGTTGTCAATGGCGGAGATGTATTCAGTCTCTGTAATCTTTCATATTTCTTTCTACCATTACTCATTCTGTTTCTCTCTTATACTTATCAAAACTCTATTGATTCTCTTCACTCATTTTCCTGTCTACCTTTGTGTGCTATTTGGAACGTGGCAACTCGAACTGCTGCACTTCGGTGCCAAGTTCTATGTTGAATCCAGCAGCAGCAGCAAGCTTAAAAGTAGTCGAAACAAGATATCAAAAAACTACAAGGTTATCGATACAAATCTGGGGGATTGCAAGTCGTCTAGTCCAAAACATTCATAAGATGAACGCATAAAAACCTTCGGTGATAAGAAGTAAAACAGAACACTTGATCCTCTTCCCCTTTAACATAAATTCTTGCATTCTAATATTTAGTTTTTCTACTCATGATATTTCTGGGCTGTTGAAAAGTGTGGCAAATTGAATGGAAGTAGTTTTGAGTAAGGACCATGTCTTATCTTAACTAAGTGATCCCTCTCAGTATGGATACAGAGGGCTAGTTTCGCATATGCCAGTTTACGCCGTCTCTGACCTAGATGTGATATCCGGCTACCAACCAAAGGGCGTGTGTACTGCTCAACAGTCCGCTCCGTCCTCCTTTATGGCTGTGAGACCTGGCCATTGAGAGCAGAAGATATGAAAAGATCAGCTGTCTTTGATCATAGGTGCCTGGTTCTATCTCCCGTGTGAAGTGGTATAATAAGGTGAGCAATATTCAGGTTAGGCGTCGAGTGCTAGGTAAGGCGGGGAAATCAGTTGACGAGACTGTGGAATTACATCGACTGAGATGGTTAGGACATGTATTACGTATGCCTAGTCATCGCCTTCCTCGACGGGCAATGTTAGCTGACATAGGGTCTGGCTGGAAAAGAGCTAGCGGTGGTCAAACGAAAACATGGCACCAGTTAATGAAATCCACAACAGTTAGTTTGAGCTAGCTACGTAGGAAGGTGTAGACTTCCTGGTTGGGGTCTTCGGGACTGTAAAAAACCAATGGCTGGAAACAATTGGTGATATGGCTCAAAATCGTTCTCAATGGCGCAGATGCATCCACTCCTTGTGACTTATGATTTTCAATGAAACTGTTTTGTTCTCCGTTATTACTATTCCTTTGTCTCACACCTCTGTTTACTGTCTCTATTATGCATTTCTTCTACTTTCTTCTCTTGCTTTGTGTGCTACATGGAGAGAGTGTGGCGACTTGAACTGCTGCACATCGGCGCAAAGTTCTATATCGATAACAGACAGATAAGTGATCCAACTATCCAGTTTTACTTTGTCGATATGGAAGAAATATGGAACTTTTCCCCTTTTGTTCCACTATCATATATAATGACAAGAGAATGTCTTATTGTAATCATTGCCACGATAATAATTAATGTGACAAAATGTATTATTAACGATTTATTGACCATCCTGAATCGATTTGACTCAAGAAAATTTACAAATCAAATTATGTGTTATGATACAGCGGAATGACATTCTTGATAATAAAGTTACAATTTGCACAAAATATTCATAAAACTATTCTATAAGTGATATATCGTCCAGCTGTTTCTGATGGTCGCGTGATGCGTACAACTTGACCTCTTCTCAGACCATAATATCGGGCAACAGGATCGCTTGCCTGCATTTTTGGGAGCTGACTTTCTTTTAACCGACTAAAAACCAAGTTCATATTAAACTATAAGACAGACTTACTATCTTTCAAGCAGTTCCTTTTTCTCTTCTTGAGTAAGGACATTGTGTTGAGGAACCAGCTGGTGCTCCGTTATATTAACCATGAGTTCGTTTTCAAAAAAACACTCTAAAGTGTACTTGCAAGAAAGTTCAGCAATAGCCTACGAAAGTAAAGAATTTAACAATATGAATAACAAACTGTTTTTGCGGAAGGCGTGAGGCCTCTCTCCTGAAGGACTAAAATAGCTCGGTAAGTACTGTCTTGTTGCATTTGATTTAAATACGCTCGAACAGTCTTCATATTAACCTTTTCTTCTTCGGGAAAGAATACATACAGCATATCAGCAGGATCTTCTTCATGATTAACAACCATGAGGAGATCTTTTCTAGTTGGAGGATCACCAACCGTTGCCTTAAAGTCTTCAAGTGTTTGCTCTAATTCTTTCGGCATCACAAGGTAACCCCTGTCTTTGCACATCTACATTCAAAATTGGTTAAGGTTTTTGACCAGGCAACTTACCTTAAGAATGGTTTTACGGATACGCCACAATTTGTAAGTTTCTGAATCATCCAACATTTCAAACAGCGTTTACAACTACAATAAGGGAAAAGATCACATATTTGCTTATGCGGATATGGCAATTCACACAGAGAACAGATATTAATAGTTGAATGCTCGTATAAAACCCAAGAGTTTACACCAAATAGGTTCGTTTTCAAAACCTTCTTTAATACTTCCGTTACATGAAACATCCTTAGTGTGTCCAGTCAGTGTATTGTAACATCTGAATATATTTTTTGCGATGCGAGGAATGAAGCCGCAAACCGTAGGGTGAAATTAGGAGAAAACTCGCAAACATCAAAGCAACCAAGTGTTAAAGACTAAAAAACGTTACCGCATGTGACAAGTCTGTGATAAATGAAATATTGTAATTATCAATACACCTATAGAAAGGTTAGCAGAAAATGAAAGATATTGTCGCACTTACTGAAGAATTACGCCAACAGACTTCGAAGTCCGGTAGTGAACTAGGCTGCTGACCAAATCTGCTTTATTGAAACTGTATCCAACCTTAGAAGGCGCATAATTCATCTAATATGGAAGTAAATATCTTCAAATTATGGTATCACTTTGCAAAGTCACAAGTTTTTTTATATTATATACTATCTGTCAATTAGTGCAAACAAGACTATTTGCATGTGCATCTGCTCATATCAAATTTTTCCTCATAGCTTCTTCTTTTGTCTTTGTTTGTTCCACCTGCAGGTCACTGCTCGAAGCCCCGGTTTGCTAAAGTTTCACAATATTCACTGATGCAACCATTCCCATACATCTGCAGCATTCACACCTTAATGTGAAACATGAAATATGTCCAAAGGTCTAGCTATTGGTGTGCTTCGTATCTTAGGAAGGAGATTACAAGATGCTAGTGAATTGTTTCCAATAACAGACTCCAGAATCTATATCTGGTGTGACTAAGTAGAAGAGTCGAAGCAGAAACATCTGATGATACCTCCAACTAATATAAATCTGTTTTCCGTTAGTCCTTAAGCTTTAGTTAGAGTAAGAAACAACCAAGTGGATAAGGAAAATTTGTATTTTCTTTGCAGACTGCAGTCCGAATCAAACTAAAGATAATTTTTTAACCGAATGTGCTCGGCAGATATCGTAGAGATAATTAGCTTTAAGGCCATAGGGCAGACATCTGGCCTCAAACGATAGTCTTTAGGTGGTAAGTGGGAACCAGTCGGTCACAGATTAGGCAGTAATGACCACTTTCAACAGCTAAAAGCACCAGAAGTAATTTCTATTCAACGACAACTTCTATCAAAGATACCGTAGTCATCTTGTCTGGGACTGTTCAAACCCACGGATCAAATATATAACTTACTTACTTTTACTTTACTTCGGCTATCTCCCACGGGAGGATGAGCCGGCTTCATGAACATCTCGAATCATCACTGCCCTATAATATATAACCGCATTCAACTACTAACTGAGTTGGTGCATACGTGACTTCCTGGATTACTTTTTTAAAATTTGACTATACTTAAGTGTGAAGTGAAACCAAATCAAAAAACGTTCTCCTACGTCAGTTGACGTACTTAAACTGACGTCCACTAAAATTGGAAGTAAAACAGACTACTGAACCTCCGGATAAAATAAATGGACAGCAACGATATTTACCAAGAAGCTACGGATACCAGCGAAACCATCTCCTACTTTGAATAAAATTCAATCAATCGACACTAGGTCTCTGTGAGATTTCCAGCGTATTGATGCCTGTCAATCCATTTAAACAGAATGTGGGTAGAGTTGGATTACACAGATTATGAATACAAAGAATTATAAAGGCTAATGTCCACTTCAGACAAATACGCTAATTTGACCCCAACAGAGCCACCGGGGTCAAGATGAGTGTTGAAAGAGCAACAATATGTGACATGGGTTGCACATCCTAGAAGATCCTTCAGTGATACCTGGGAATAAGGATGGAACAGTGAGACACGTGACTGGGTAACTTCATCAGAGACTCCTATTCGTGAACGTAAGGCCAAGGGGTTTTCTAATGCTGGTCTGCCCAGCAAAATGAGTTTTAAGGGAATCTTTACGTACGCATAGATAGCAGTTATACTGATTTGAATCTTGTAGTGAAAAAAAAACACTTATCACATAAGTAACTACATTGTCTGAAGTTATAACGCAGAATGAGCTTCATTACTATGGGAAATATCATCTTAGTGCGAGTAAATAAAGCACTAGAGTGTTGTTAATTTCCGCATCTACATTCACTTTTGAGAACGTCGAAAGTGACTGAAAAACTTCCGAAAATAAGTGAGTAGCAGATAAATGTTTCGGGTGTTTAAAGAAATTTAGAATCATATGCAAAAAATGAATCACTATCGGTCACATTAGGATGCTATTATGACATCCCAAAACCGTGAATTTACAACTTATTTTCCCTTTACTTCAATGAAATGGCAGTGACCAACTTTGCAAGGAAATAATCATACGCAGATTTAGCATATTCGGCAAAAAACCACGTTGCAGATGTATATACAAGAAAACTACTAGTTTATCAAACATTGACACGTCAGGGTGCACTGTTTTCAACCAGTGGGCCGTTGTACAGAAGGAAACTGAATTTAAATTGAAGTGATTTAAGGTTGAATGTATCTGAAAACCTGTTCAAGTACCGTGAAAAGATTTTAAAAACACAAATAGGTCTGGGACCAGATTATTTAACACGACTACTTGGCCATCGTATGTGAAGCTAGACAGATTATTTCTTACATTTTTAAAGTTAGTAGTTTGTTACAAATTTTGTCTAAACTTTATGGATTTTATAGGCTGATCAGAATAACCGGTCGTGTTGAAATAAACACTGATTCGAAGCAAAAATATTTAAGATAAACGAAGTGAAGTTCTTGTGCCATTATCTAAGTGAAATTTAAAGCCAGTCAACATTATGGCATGGCAAGCACTACTCACACAACCGACCTTGGAACGTCTCAACAACTTTTAAATTACCGCCTTATAAACTCAATATCCACTGCCCTAATCAATAGATGGTTGGATGCAACAGGTAGACGGCTCTGATAGTTCGGAGGTGTTTGCTTGTTAATACAGAGTCTATACAGATAGAATTGAATTTAATCATCTAGTATTACGACAGATTCTGTAAATCAATTACAGATAAATAGAAATTGTCTCAGTATTACTGCGATTTATACCAATTTATTTTGCATAAATGTTTAATTTTTACTCAAGACTAAGGGCATGTGTAACAATTATATAAAATCTCGATTAAAGCCCGTCGGTGGATGTTTCTGATTCTTCTTCATATCCATCACTAATATCTTAAATATTTCCCCACCTATTTTATTTCCTTTGATCAGCCCTGATGGCTAGTTCGCAGAAGCTATGAGGTAAGTCAGAACTCAGACGAGATGCCATGACAAACTACAATTTTGCCAGTAATCGTAACTACCCTCTGACATTCCCTAAGGCCTGCCATAGCCTCTTTGGAGAAGTAGTAGGAACTATGTTGTACAGACTCACCAGTTCTCAGGAATCTTTCATCTCCGAAAATAGCCAGATGCAAAAGAATTGACCCATATCACTTTTGTGACCATAAGAGCGGTATATGTAGCAGCATATTGTAAACTGATGTACTTCACCTTGCATTCGGTAACAAAAATATTAAGCACGCCTATAAAGAGTAAAAGAAAAATGAGATGTAGAAATTTGCTCGGGACATGTATTCAGGAAAAATTCATGCCTAAACTAAATTGAGGCACTGCTCAAAGTTACTGAACACAGCACAGAATGACAGTCAACTTTCGAGAAGGTCTTCGACATCAACGGTTTGGCAACTTGGAAATATCTCCAAAATTACTGATTACGGTGTCACCGACAGTTATCAACTTCAATCACCGGCTGACATATGCCAATTAACTCACAATGGAAAGCTATAAGAATAAAAAAACATGGTAGAGTGCTACTAATGATCTTCCTAATTACTTTAAACGAGGTTCCACGAGTTACCACGGGGAATTAAATGACGGAAATATATTGGGCAGACAGACTGACCTGGAAATTATGGATTATTTACCTTTTAGGTCTCACGAGCTCTGTGATTAGCAAAAGAAAACCGATAAGAAAACATGATTTCAAATAAAAACTGGGGAGGGTGGAAGTGACAGTGGTACCCGACCAACAGCAAAAAGCATCAATCACCAACGTTGAAGGAAATTTGGAGGGTTTGTTCCCTCGACTATTTGAACTGAGCAGCGTGGTTGTAACTACAGGAGGAGTCATGGATGAAGATGTTGCGGAAGCCCAAAGCGTCAGTCTCACCAATTTAGAAACTGAATTCTCCACCAAAATCATTATTCAGATTTAAGACTGACGTCTCGAAATATTGTAGAAGACTAATGGTGTTTATGAACCTTTGTTTTGGCATCTCCATAGGGGGGAGGCGTGATGAGAAAAGTCAAGACAAACAAACAGAACACCATACACCATTCAGTGAACAAAGAAAGCTTTACAAATCAATAGGAAGATGTAGTTCCTACTTGGTCTTTCACCCATCCTTTTGCGTTCGTTAATCACCTACTACATAGGAGCAGCCCTAGCATACCGTATTGTAGAGACCCTACAGTGTTAAGGTCAGCCAGGATCGGGACGGGATTGCAAGACCCTCGCCACTCTGTATTCAATGTGGAAATCTGCACAGGCAGTGCGATCTGTAATTTCAGTGTTACTACAGGATTCGGGCAGCTGTCATTAGCGTTACCGAAAGTACTTTCAACCGACTGAGGATTTCACCAGCGATTGTTTCTGCTCAATACTTAAGGTCAAATGGGTGACCGAACAGAAATGGTGACAGAATTATAGTAGCGAATAAACAAACACCCCATTAGCAGGCATAGGCTTAAGAGAACACCGAGTGACATTGGATGCCAGGGATTTGTAAACAGCTTGAATGGGAAGTGATGATTTTGGCGTTCTTCGACAGTGACATGAAAAAGATCATGCGAGGAGAAATTGTAAGTTCGTGGGCAGTTGCAGGACCAGCTAAAGATCCTGAATAATTTCTACATTATCTCATCAACCTGTGTCGTTTCGACCTTGTGGTTTGAAAAGGTCACTATCACTAATGATTTCAAGATGCCATCAGTGAGTTTCAATGAAGAAAATATTCACAGCTGAAATTTTGATGCACAGCTACTAAATACAGTATCGGTGCTGGAGTGCCTGAAGCCAGTAAAATATTTCGCCTTGAGGGCTAGATGATAACCATTTCGATTAGACTACCTTCTCACGAGCCACCATCTGCTCATGGGAATATATATCTAATGCCACCAGGGACAACAGTGACCACATAGTAATATTTTTTGACTTAGTAGTTATGTAACAGTCAACGTAAAGTTACTCCTGTACTGAGCACTTATGCAGTGGGATCAAGAGCCTTGGGCACAAGACCAAGATTATTCGACGGTCGATAAACGCTTAGGGAGGGTGAGGGCTGTTGAGAGAGCCATCAGTGATTCCATCCGTGAGACATCTGTAGCCGCTCGAAGAAGACTTCACAAGATGAAAACGGGGCACCGGGCTCCCTACCACGAACAAGGAAAAAGCATTGCGAAAACCGAGACAATCATGGAAACGGCCAGACAATACAGCACATCTAGTCCAAAACAATCGTTGAAATACCGAGGGGGTGTAGAGAATGTTTCACCGCAACCAAGTCCAGCAACTGCAAACCGACTCCAAAAATCTATACCGGTTCACAGGTCGGAAGAGAAGCACTAATAAAGACACTGTATATTTAAAAATCAGAAAGAGGGACTTCTGAGTAACCCAGAGATCCATGAGGCTTTTAATGACACACTCTAAAGGCGGCTGAACAATGACGACGCCGGCCAGATATGTAATCTTCGATGACTCACGGTGCCGCCTGATCTCAAGGTTATTATTCCTCTCCAATTAATTTGCAATATAGCTGTAGAGAACCTAACAGACCTTCATCTACAGAAATCTTTAGAACGCGACAGCATCAAAGTAGTAACTCTCAAACCATCTGCAGATGCTCTGCGTCTCCCAGATTAAGCTGTTCGAGCACTCATCTGGTAAGTGTCAGTCTCCATGAGACGGCTTAGCTGTCAACAACATATGAGGTGACAGAGGGCGTGATAGATGGTCGTAACAAAGAATACCTGAACAAAACCAAGCTTCTGTACGACCTTCACCTGGGAATCAGTGAGGAGCAGTCGCATGCTTCTACTTTGTTAATGACAAAAAATAACAGAACAGGGTACATGGCCTATTTAAAGACCTTTCAAAAGTCTTTGCTATTAACGGACAGCTTTGTTTTCTCGGATCACTAACGCAAATTCGAAAAACAGACCATACATTCTTGATAAAATTGAGCTAAAATCCGTGTATTCACGGGAATTAACAGAACTGGAACAGTCAAGTATATAGTTTTTTTATATAAAAAAGACAGACAAAGAGAAGGCGTTCAAATGATACGAACGTGAGGCAACCAATTATATATATTCGGCTAATTTAGGCGCAATATGAGAAACAGTTAAACGCACATAGCAGAGAAAAACAACTCAGAGAAAGGTATCCCGTCTAAAATTCTACGCCATTATTCGGCACTATTAGTGAACATGGATTTGTTTATGTGATTTCTCCACTTTGCACTGATTTTGCAGTGCCAGTCAGAAGGTCACTAAAAATCAAACCTGTTTCCACCACTAATCCCTTGTCCTAGCCTATCCCTAACTACACAGTGTCTAATTAAATTCAAATAACCTTAACATGTTACTATATATGGGATCAATATTTCCCTCACTCAACCCAAAATTCACCAGATATCTTGCTAAATAACATTATACTTCACCAATATAACATTATCCACCTGGTTTCCCTTACACGCTCTCGTTTTGCATTTCATTGTCACAAACACCGATTTTCTGAAGTTTAACTTCATCATCTGTTCTTGAACTTCTCTCAGAGTCCTCAAAGACATGGAGAAATCAGGAAATTGTTAGTTTGCAAACCACCATCGTTACCATATCGAAAAGGAGAGTTGTGGAGTAACTCCTGCTTTTGTTGTGTAAATCACATCAGAAGCTCTTCGGTTTACTTTAACTGGTCTAATTGGTTGAAGTATTTTTTTGCACTTTGTGACTTCTTGTATGGGTTTAAAATCTCTGTATTTAGGTATATGTATACATATTTGTCTTTGTAATTTAAACAACATACTGATATGAGTCTCAAATAGCTGTGGACTGCCACTTTCAGGTAGATGATGGGATGCAGTGTGATAACTACAACCTATGGTTTCATAAAGTTTGCACTGGCTTATCACCACCAGCCTATCCAAAATGCAGCAAGCTATCATCTCCATGGGTGTGCAGATTTTGTAGTAGCACATTGGACGTCCTGATCCAAGAGGCCGTAGGACTTGACAAAAACCTCGGATGAGTGGAAAAAGCCAGCATCTGGTATCGATGTCATGAATGAGGATTCTGGACTGAGTCATAAGACCGGGACAAAACCACATGCCCAAGCTTCAAAAGACACAACAGAGCTACAGTGTGCCCAGAAGTCTGTAAAAGCACGCAAGCCTCAAATTCTAAGAGGGAAAGCAGTGCCAACATCGTAATACCTCTGGGTGATACTGCAACGACGAAGCGTTGCTTGTCAGGTGAACGCTTGGCTTCCAACTGCGGCGAGAACAAAGTGGAATTAACTGATTCCACTTGGTTAGTGCCAAAAAATAGGAAGCTGAAGAATTATAGGAAGGAGGAAATCATTGGGCTTAGTGATAAGTTCTCGAAAGCCGTAAGCACCAACAAGATTGTTAAACCTTCGGACTCAAATTACAGTAGTTTAATTTGGAACATAGACAAATCAAAGAAAGTAGATCCAGCTGTCCAACATACTGATGATCTCGAGGTAGTTAGCTCCATGATCAGTGAAATACTTCCTGAAGAAACGAATGGAGTTCGCATAAGGAAAGCCATCGGAATTTTTTAAAAATTTGTTTGATTTTTGATTACAGCTTGATTCTACACCGTATTTTTTGGTACAGGTATGGAATTTTCAGTATGTGATATCGGTAGCCCAAATTTTGCAGGCCGACCATAGATATCAGGTATGCGTCAGCAGGGGATCGAACCCCAGACCATGTGCATGATCAGCAAGGGTCACAAACGCTGTGCCACTGAATCGGTAAACGAAGCGCCGACGCAATGGAAATTTCCTCACGACTACTGAAGATAGTACCGGGGAACGAGATGGAGAAATGTATTATTCTCAACAACGCATTCAAGATCAAGAATAAAAAGATGAGAATTAGGCCCGGCTGGCCTCTGGAAGATAGAATTAATTGAGGAGGAGCAGTGGCTGAATTAAAGGCCCGACTAGAAAAAGGTGAAAAATACCTCAAACTGTTGGGTTTTCAGGTAATGAGGTCTCAGAAACCTATTTTGCCCAGAGCTCTGTTCATAAGTTGAGTGAACTCATAGGTCTCTAAGTATGCTACGCGAACGCTCGTAGTCTTAGGAATAAGCTTTGTGAACTAGGAGTGTTGTCTGAAGAACTACAACCTGATGTGATTGCTATCACTGAAACTTGGTTGTTAGTGGGTGTAGACATAACTCCACTCATACCTGGGTACATCTGCATTAGAGCAGACAGAGTAAGTAGACGGAAAGGTGGTCGTTACTGTATACATCTGGGATGACATAGGAATTAGATCAATGTTGTTGGAAGCTCGTGACAGCGGCACCAGTGAAGCCGTTAGTTGGGATGTGACAATTGGGTTTATTTATAGAAGTCTTGTCAGCTAAGCTGGGGATTTCGTACTAAATCACCTCAGGACGTGGAGTAGTAGAAACAGGTGTCTAATGATAAGTGACTTTAATGTCCCACATATAAATTGGGAGGAATTAACATCAGCTACCTTGTTCGCTTGTTTCAACAGGGAAATCATACTGACAGCGCTTGAATACGCACTTGCGCAGCATATAGATGCACCAACACGATACCACTCTGAACATGATCCGTCCACTCTAGATTTGGGGCCGACACACCAGAAGGAGAATGTCGGTGGCATTAGGTGCCTGGCACCGCTAGGCAGTAGTGACAGTATAGTTATCATTTGTATGTTTAGGATTCACGTTGTCATACTTAGGTCAACAGCTACTCATTCAAACGTTTGGAAAGCGAATATACCTGCAATCTGAAATGCAGCAACCCTAGCTGACTGATCCGTTGATAGGCACCAGACCGTCGGGGAGGATTGGATGGGATTTAGGAATGCACTAGATCGCGTCACTGCACCCTTTGTACCTTGGTCTACGCCTCGAAAACTATCGCATAAACCACCTTGGATGAGTAATGAAATAGGGTTATTAAGAAAACGAGAGAACTTATGGGACCGGTTTACTGTGACAGGGAGGGATGAGTTTCGGATGGAATACCACAAAATTCGTACCACTCAGGGATGCAGCGAGGTTACTGATGTAGCCACTAAAATGCCCACAATTGTGGTAGGGGATGCAGTGATTCTAAAACTACTGTCTAAGCTGAAGCCAGGTAAATCACTCGAACCTGATGGACTTCACCGTAGGCTTCTAATCTCCTTGGTGGATATAATATACATCCCACTTACAGAGATTTTTCAAATGTCTCTGACCCAGGCTAGGCTACCCAGGGGCTGGAAAGATGCTTTTATTAGCCTCATCTTCAAAGAGAGGAACAGGCAGTTAGTATCTAACTACCGGCCTGTAGGTCTGACCTGCATTTTAGCAAAGGTGTTAGAAGAACTCATAAGGGATCAGCTCTTAGCTCATATGGAAAAACGTGGCTTATTGGCAGCAGAACAACATGGATACCGACCAGGACGATACTGCTATTCCTATCATACCTAAGTGAAGTGCAGAAAATTCTTACCTCATCTTCCTTACTATTTGTGGACGATATTAAGATATGGGAAACCATAAATGGTAACGATGATAGGTCGTTACTAAAAAACGATCTAGATAAATTAGCTGAGTGTGCTTACCTTTGGAGTCTGGAAATTAAATCCAAGAAAAGTTCGACAGTGCACCTAGCTCAGAGTTATTACACGCCGTACTCCCTGGGTGGGAAGAACTGTCAGATGTAAGGGGACAAAAGGACTTAGAAATTATCGTAAGCCATGACTTAGAAACAACGGAAAATTGTAATCAAGACGCAGCTAAGGCTTTTCGAATGCTATGGGCACTTCGAAGGGCTTTAAAACGATTAGACGAGGGTGTGTTCCAAGTACTTTTTGCAGCATATGTCAGACTTCATCTAGAATACTGCATTCAAGCAGTGTCCATGCTTCAAAAAAGGAGGCACATATCCTGGAAAGAGTACAGAGGCTAGGAACCAAATTAGTTAGTGGTACCTCACACTTTCCTAATGATGAGAGGATGGAACATTTAAATCTCTCCCCATTATCATACTGAAGGAGGAGAGGCGACTTAATTCTGGCTTACCGTATATTAAAGGGTGATTTAGGGATTGATCTCTCAAACATTTTCTAGCCCTCTCGGATAAATTCACGAGGTCACCACAAGAAGGTGCTCAGACCAAGGTCGGACAAAATACGAGTGGAATTTAGATTCTCCCACAGAGAGGTCAACGACTGGAACTCCTTGCCTGATACAGTAGTAACAGCTCCATAGGTGAACGCTTCCAAGGAGAAACTGGATCTCTGCAGAGATATATATCTCAAAGATTAACAAAGGCAACATGTGCCTTCTATCCCTAAAATCTGAATCTGACATTGTACCGTTGAATAACAGTCCCCATTTGATTCGAAGGTTATGTTCTCAATTGGTGTATTGTTTAGGTTTCGCCATCCCTCGCTAAATGGGTTTTTGAACTTTACTACTTCTACGTTTTTACAAGACTGGATAAGAAACCAAACATCTCGAAAGCCGAAACGTTTTAAGCTGAATAAGACCTTCACGGTCCTTGAGAATGAATTGTACGTCATATACAGAGTCAATGAAATTTTGTTTCTAGCGTGGAAGTGAGACAACTTGAGCCTTTACCTTTATCGCCACATAACTCAATGCTACACAATGGTGAGTCTTCATTTACTTTTTGATCAATGCTGTCTATCCTGTATAAGTGTTTTTTTTGTAAACTACTGCAAATCCTAAAATGGGTGAAAACATCGCTATAAATTAATTGGATTGATTTTCAAATATATTTGTATTTATCTCTTTTGATATTTCATGTAGAAGGTTGTAATTCAGGGTTATCCTAAAGCCCTAAATTTGGTGACTCTCGATAGTCATGCTAGAATTAGTAAAATGGATGCACAAGTTCAGTTTGAAAGTCTCTATACTCAAACCGAAAGCCTATTACCCTTGTCTACTGGAGCTGTTGAAAAACTTGAGTCAACTTTGGTAGATTGTAGTTATAATTATATGAATAGTAAACGCAACTCGGATAGTATTTTGACTAAAAAATGTAGAGGAGCCCTAGATATTCCCCAAAAAACACCGGATAAGGGATCAGGAATGGTTATTATGAACAAAGCTGACTACTTCAAGAAAATGTATGCTATTCTTAACGACAATCTAAAATTCTAAAAATCTCTTTTTTGGACCCGATTGAAAAGATAGAGGAACAATTAGCTGAAACTTTGAGAAGACCGAAACAACATGGCTTCATCTCACAACGTCAGTATACATCACTGAGACGTTCACACCAAGATTATATGGTTCACCAAAAGCGAACAAAAACGGTTTACCACTTCGACCAGTATTAGGTATGTTAAATTCACCATCCCGTCCCATTGCTAAATGGTCACTCAAACTCCTACATCCTCTACGTACTGAATTGGTCAAACACAGTGTTAAAGATACCTTTGGATTTGTTAAAAGATTAAACGATTTAAATGGTAGCAATAAATTCATGATATCATTTACCGTATCTTCCCTATTCACCAATGTACCACTAATAAAAACAGTAGACTTTGCATGTGAATAACTCATAAGATGAAATATCAATGTCAGCATTCCTCTATCTTTTACGAAAGAGCTGTTCTTGAAGTGCACAATGAATGTTCACTTTTTATTTAATAAGGAATTATGCAGGCAAATTGATGATGTGGCAATGGGGTCACCACAAAGACCCATTCTAGCTGACATTTTCCTTGCTAAACCAGAGAATGGGCCTTCAAAAGGTATAATTGATGAGCTTATTATAATTTATGCATCTCCAGTGAACTGTATTTCCATCGATCTTGCTTAACAAATCGATAGTATTTAAAAAACAATATTGTATATAAACATACATTTAATTGTAGCGTTGGAAAAGGAAATTATCGATAAAGGATATTCTTTGCTCAATTTTTTCTTTTTTTTTTATGATACGAATTGTTAAAATGTTTGTGTACTAGGCTTTAACGAGAGAGTTATACCAACTTCGATAACCTCCTGAAGAGAATTATATAAACTATTTATTCAATCACAGCAAGCAGAAAGCGTTGCTGATAGTTGAGTTTAGCTCTAATAGGAGTTTCATCTTGCTAAATTGTCTAGTAATTAGGCCTCTATTGCATTTATTAATATTGTCAAATGCATGTAAAAATACGGTGTGTTATTATAATTATTTCTACTCTATTTGAAATTTTATAGCTGGATCTAATGTTCATACCTCAGTCACTAGATTAATTGTTTGAGTTATAGAAGCATTTAAATTTCAGTAATTAGCTGTGTGTAACAAAACGTATTCAAACTGTGTTAAATTCCAAAGTATATTGAATACTCCGAATTCCACATGAAAATTTATTGTGATGTCTGTGATTATGCTGACAATCCATGGAATTAAGCGTAGATTCATGACGCTGATAAAGCTATCATATCAGGAAGACACATCTCCATCCAAAGGAAGCACGCCGGAAACGTCCGCACAGAGAGGGAAGGCCCGTGGCGTAGACGTGGTATCCGCCTATCAATCAAAGAACGTGTACTGCGCAACAGTTCGCTCCGTCCTTCTCTATAGCTGTGAGACGTGGCCGCTGAAACGGAAAATATGAAGAGGCCAGTCGTCTTTGACCATAAATGTTTGTGTTCCATCTCCCATGTTGTGTCATAATATGGTGAGTAATATCAAGCTTAGATGTAGTGTTAGGTTATGGAATTAGTCGATGAGGTTGTGAAACTGTAATAATTGAAATGGCTAGGGCACGTGTTACGTATACCAGGCTACCGCTTTCCTTGTCCAGAAATGTTAACTGACATGCGATTAGGTTGGAAGAGCGTTAAGGGTGGTCAAATTCTAATGTGACACCAATCCTCGAAGTCTTTGACTGGTGGACTAAGCCACGTGGTGAGGTGTGTATACTGTCTAACTAAGGTCATCGAGACGATAGGAACTAATGACTGAAGACTGTTGATGACACGGTTCACTATCATTCCGATTAGCGGAGATGTATTTAATCTTAGTAATCTCTCAGATCTGTTAAGTCCTCATCTTCCGCCTGTACATTTCTGCTCATTACTGTCCTGTCCATTTTTTCTTCCTTTGTGCTACATGGCGTGTGAACTTGAACGGTTGCACTTTCGTATAAAGTTCTACTGTGAAAAATCAGTTTTCAGCACTAGTAACAGTGTAAGTTATCAGTATCACTTTGTTTTTCGCCATAGTTAAAGGTTTTATGCAGACGTAAATGTTTATTCAATTGCACTATTGTTGTACACGTAGTTATGTTTATATCGTCAGATAGGAATTGACCGTTAAAATACTCAAACAAATAGATCTCACATTGCTTTGGTTTTATGATACTTCTGTGTCTTATGTGGTTTCTGTTCTTTTTTGGCTTTTCTCCAGGCATTTGTGATGCAGTTAACTCCCGTATATCAGAGAAAGCTTCTCAGTATTTTGCTGTAATAGCATTAGCAGGAAAACAGTTTAAAGTGTCGAACAATGATTTAATTATGGTTAAAACGCCATTCTTTGGAACTGATATTGGCGATCACGTCCAACTGCAAAAGGTGCTACTTTTAGGTTCATCAGATTTCACTATTATCGGTCGACCTATTTTACCTGTCCACCAGGTTTTTGTGGAAGCTGTGGTCATTGAAAAGACCCTTGAACATCCTAAAGTGTGGTATCAATTCCATCGCCGCCGCAGACATCATAAACTTCGGGGTAGGTAAATTGTCACATTTTACTTTCTTCTTAGTATTTCAAGACAATATGACTGTCCTTCGAATCATTAACATTCGTCCTAATTTACTGGAGTCTTCATTATGCGATGTGTAAATATATATTTGCTTATGTTTCTTTTTGAAAATACAACCTTCCCCACAAGAATACAAAGTTCTCCATATTAGATTTATCACTTTATAGTACTTTCTGAGTGTGAAGCATGGTTATTACTGACAATCTATATTTTCTTTTTCATATAGAATTCATTTTTCTAACTACAGGAATCGTGTCCGCTCAATTCGGTAAATGTTAGGTTTTCTTTGTTTGTTAGTAGATTAATCTTTGGTTAATCAAATTATTAAGTTTCTAAGCATACAAAGTAAAGGGATATTGGAATAATGATTTTTTTTTTCCATAGCAATATAGCGATATCAGTTACTACTGATGAAATTGTGGTACTTAATGTTAAGTAATGCAAGTTGGTAAACACGTAGTGACCTATTTTATTACTTATCATCGTACTATACTTTCATTGTATAATTGTACTTTGATTTGTTTATTACTCTAAATCTTGCGTGTTAACAATTGATACATTTGTACTCGCTCAAGTTTTGAATTTTGATTACGGCGAGAATACACATTCCTACACCTTCTCAAGTGTCTTCTGATTTACGTTGTGTGTGTCGAGTAAGCACAACGTTAGGACACAATTATAAACGAGAAGAAGTGTTAGGATGTACGTATACGCTAGTTTAATCCAAATATAGCAGCACAACAAACATACAAATTATTCTGTAGAGTAGTCATTGTCTAAAACTTTTTTTCGTATTTTCCAAGTTACCTGCAAACCGTTATATATGTCTAACGGAAGTTCACTTTTAACAGTTTGCAAACCATTCTAGGCAACTAGAAAACTGACTGACAGAAAGAGTTTTCAAAGCAGAACTTTGCACGAAAGTGCAACCGTTCAAGTTCACACGCCATGTAGCACAAAGGAAGAAAAAATGGACAGGACAGTAATGAGCAGAAATGTACAGGCGGAAGATGAGGACTTAACAGATCTGAGAGATTACTAAGATTAAATACATCTCCGCTAATCGGAATGATAGTGAACCGTGTCATCAACAGTCTTCAGTCATTAGTTCCTATCGTCTCGATGACCTTAGTTAGACAGTATACACACCTCGCCACGTGGCTTAGTCCACCAGTCAAAGACTTCGAGGATTGGTGTCACATTAGAATTTGACCACCCTTAACGCTCTTCCAACCTAATCGCATGTCAGTTAACATTTCTGGACAAGGAAAGCGGTAGCCTGGTATACGTAACACGTGCCCTAGCCATTTCAATTATTACAGTTTCACAACCTCATCGACTAATTCCATAACCTAACACTACATCTAAGCTTGATATTACTCACCATATTATGACACAACATGGGAGATGGAACACAAACATTTATGGTCAAAGACGACTGGCCTCTTCATATTTTCCGTTTCAGCGGCCACGTCTCACAGCTATAGAGAAGGACGGAGCGAACTGTTGCGCAGTACACGTTCTTTGATTGATAGGCGGATATCACGTCTACGCCAGAGATGACATGAGTTGGCATAAGACTCACGGGCCTTCCCTCTCTGTGCTGAGGTTTCAGTCAGCAATCAGGTATGATTTACCTTCTTAAATTTGACAAAGGGTCAACATGCTCAGCCACCTTGCTCCCCATCTGTAAACTAGGAGTTGTTGTTGACCAGTCTTACAGTAGTGATGTGCATACTGAGCATAACAAAGTTTCTGCTAAGTACGTAATTGTTCGGGAGGAAAACTGAATGTTATGTAATGGAGTTGTTTACCATCTTTGTAATCAACCCGACTGATGACCTACCGATTTGTTTGAATGTCGCTGACTTATACATATTTTTGTAATTATAATTAATTGATAGAATTTTAAGGAAGAAGGTATTCTGGTTAACGTCATTGATTCTAGGCTGGAGCTTTTACGACCTGATAGAAATCATAAAGTTGATAAATGCTTACTTGCGTTAATAAGTAAACGAAAATAATTTGTCTCCATGTTATGATCCACATTCCCACCGAAAGCGGTACAAGAATGGCCGATAATCTACTGAAAGACTATCACAAAACGATCATGTTTGGCTTCATACGTTACAATTCAAATAATGCAAACTTAATTTTGGTCGTTCGGTTTCTCGACATAGAACTTTGCACATATGTGCGGCAGTTCAAGGCGCCACACTCTCTCCATGTAACACACAAAGCAAGAGAAGAAAGTAGAAGAAATGCATAATAGAGACAGTAAACAGAGGTGTGAGACAAAGGAATAGTAATAACGGAGAACAAAACAGTTTCATTGAAAATCATAAGTCACAAGGAGTGAATGCATCTGCGCCATTGAGAACGATTTTGAGCCATATCACCAATTGTTTCCAGCCATTGGTTTTTTACAGTCCCGAAGACCCCAACCAGGAAGTCTACACCTTCCTACGTAGTTAGCTCAAACTAACTGTTGTGGATTTCATTAACTGGTGCCATGTTTTCGTTTGACCACCGCTAGCTCTTTTCCAGCCAGACCCTATGTCAGCTAACATTGCCCGTCGAGGAAGGCGATGACTAGGCATACGTAATACATGTCCTAACCATCTCAGTCGATGTAATTCCACAGTCTCGTCAACTGATTTCCCTGCCTTACCTAGCACTCGACGCCTAACCTGAATATTGCTCACCTTATTATACCACTTCACACGGGAGATAGAACCAGGCACCTATGATCAAAGACAGCTGATCTTTTCATATCTTCTGCTCTCAATGGCCAGGTCTCACAGCCATAAAGGAGGACGGAGCGGACTGTTGAGCAGTACACACGCCCTTTGGTGGATAGTCGGATATCGCGTCTACGCCAGAGACGGCGTAAACTGGCATATGCGAACCTAGCTCTCTGTATTCGTGCTGAGATTTCGTCTGAGATCAACTCGTTGGGGCTGATAGTACTTCCCAAGTGAAGCGGTCAACGTGCTCTACCACTTCACTTCCTATTTCTAATCTAGGAGTCGGTGAAGTCCAATCGTGCAGCATCATTTTACATTTTACAGGGGCAAATCGCATGCCAAACGTACGAAGATTGTTGCCCAAGGTGTTCAGTAGACTCTGCATTTTGTCAGCGTCCTCGCCTAGAAGGACTATATCGTCCGCATATTCTAAGTCGACGAGATTATTCCCTGGTAGCAAGTCAATCCCTGAGTCGCTGAAGTGTGTTAGGGTTAAGTCCATTAGTACGTCTATGATGAAGTTGAACAGAAATGGGGATAATGGGCATCCTTGACGGACGCCACTAGTCGTCACCACTTCAGATGACGACTCACTTGGCTGCATGAGTACGAGTAGAGTGCCTTAATCAGTGCAATGTATTTTCTCGGCATTCCCTTTACAGCCAAGCATCGCCAGAGAACCTCTCGGTCGACAGAATCGAATGCCGCCTTTAGGTCAAGAAATATAGTGATTGTCGGACGGCGGTAGGAATGCCTATGTTCTAGAATCTGTCGAAGGGTGAATATATGATCAATACACCCTCTTCCTGGCCTAAAACCTGCCTGGTTTTCTCGTGTTTGTGCCTCGCGAGCACCGCTTAGTCTACGCAGTATTATTGAGCCTAGGATTTTAGATACTATATTAGTCAAGCTAATCCCTCTGTGATTATCACAAGAAGACTTGTCTCCCTTCTTGTATATCGGGATGATCAGTGACTTACACCAACCCGATGGGACTTCCTCTGATTCCCAGACGCTGCCTAGAACCTCAGTTAACGCAGACAGTAAACTGTCTCCACCGTACTTAAATACCTCTGGAGTCAATCCATCAGGTCCCGCTGCTTTGCCTTGCTTCAGATCAGTGACAGCTTTAGTAACCTCAGTTAAGGACGGAGGACCTGTGTCTATGTCCCATTCAGGGAGGTGTTGGGTGTTCGGCAGGTTAAGTGTGGCTGTAGGTCAATTAAACTGCTCCTCATAGTGTTCTTTCCAGCGCTCCAGACGTCTATCCTGGGAGCTAATTATGGTGCCATTTTTCTCAGAGATTGTTTCACTTATCGTTTGCCTTTTACCACCTGTTTCCCTTATAAACCTGAATAGTTGTCTGGTGTTGCCTATCGCCGATGCCTTTTCCATCTCTTTCGCTTTTGTCGCCCACCACTGTTCACGGTCGTTGCGAAGACTTTTTATTAGTCTTCGTTTAAGTACCTTTCGCTCCTCGTCATAATCGGAGCTCGCTGGAATCAGTCTTCTTGCGTCAATCAGTTCGGATGAGGCGGTAGAGATCCAGTGGCTTTTATTAACTTAAGGTTTTAGCTTATTGACAGCTTTCAGGGCTGTGTCCACAGCTAACTGTATGTTGTGCCAGGCTACTTCAGGGGAAGTCCTGCTATCGACCTCAGAAACTAGTTTCGCTATTTCTTCCTTAAATAAGGACTCAGTGTCTCGATCTAGTTGGGGACGTAACTGTTTCGTTGCCGTCAATTTCTTATGTCCATTTAGTCGTAAGCATAAACTTGCGCGAACCAGAGCGTGGTCAGAGTCTTCGCACGTGTTCCAGAAGGAGCGACAGTCTTCTACTGACCCTCGCCAACGATACCCTATGGCTATATGGTCTCTCTGAGTCCAGCGTTGATTTGGTGATGGAAGTCGCCAGGTTACACAATGTCTTTCTTTGTGCCTAAAGTGAGTGCTGACTAGGAACAGATGATTATCTGAGCAAAACTGGAGAGGACGATCACCGTTGTCGGTTCGTCGGCAGGGAACTCCATACATACCACCTACATACTTCTCAGTCTGGCACAACTTCCCTACTTGGGCATTGAAGTCGCCTGCTAAAACAACTATGTCAGAACGTTTTGCTTTTTGCAGCAAATTAGACAGTTTCCGTAGAAGTCATCTTTTAATTCATCCGAACCGCAATCTTTTGGGGCGTAAGCGGAGACTACGAAAAGGCAACGACGGGTAGCGCCGTCTTTCCTTCTTTTAACGGACCTGTTCAGACGGACCGCGCACATACGACCATCTACTGGGATCCAGTCAAGGAGTGGTTTTTCCGCCCTAACACTTAGTGCTATCCCTACACCTGCGAGTCCTCGTGAGGTAGCTGAGGGGCTCCCGACACCCTTAAAGTGAATTTTGCAGATTCACCTTGTTGACCGGGTGAGGTCAAGTGAATGACCACACTCGGTTCTTGTATGCGTGTCTCCG